ATGTTTTTACTTAAATTGTCATTTTCAGTATTTTAGCCTCTGGTAATAATTTTACAAATATTTGTACGCTATTGTTAATATGTGCCTTGTGATTTTTGGCTGAGAAACGCAACATTTATTTTTGGTATTCCTGTCTTCCCCTTCCTTAAACTCCACGAGCGAAATGTTGTATTTATTCACTCACAGTTTGTGTTTTCTACTTCTTTTGTAATTAGTGTTGTTACTTTGTATTTGTCGTCGCCCCTCATCATCATGAAATGTGTTTGATTTTTTATGAAATACTTCATTTTCTTTTTGTAATTTATTCCACTCAATTGTATTGTTTGAATTTGTTGTTTGAAGTTTGTCTCTGTTTAATTAACCAAAGTTTATATCGTTAAGTCAAACAATAAAGGTGATTAGAAAGCTGAAAGCTTAAGTTGCAGTCACCTCACTAATTGCATTTATTCTGTGATAAGACCATGTCACAAATTAGGTTAAGTTAACTTAAAGCCTAACAACGAAAAATTAAACTCTATATCAAACCAATGTAGTTTTTATTATTGTATTGATAATGATTACAAACAATCAACATAAGTATTGTAACTTAATATTTAATAATTTGTCCAGTATTCAGTAAACATTTTTGCATATATTACTTAACTTAGTGCTCAATTTGTACTGTTGAGTTTTGGTTATCCGACCTAATTTGACTGTAAGAGTAAAGATTGGATACCAAAGAGAATAATAAAAACAAACCAATCTAAAAGTGTTAAATCAAATTATATTTAAACATTAAATACTTTCAAAATATAGGCTTGGTTACGAAATATTTTGTAGTACTGTGTAACATCTATATACTTAATAGAGTAAGGGGTTTCTCTGTACACATCGCTTTTTGGGCCGTCCTACTTAACCGATTTTTACATTTGAGGTGACATTTTGAAAACTTATGATATAGCGCGGGGACAAATGGTAATTAAGAAGGTAAAAGCCTTAAAGCTTTGCCCTTCTAGTGTTTGCCTGCAGTTGAGTTTTTAACCACAGTCAGATTGTTAACAAGAGACAAAACACTTTTGGAAAATGGACTTTTGCCACTTGAATTGACATTTTTAACCTTATTAGGGTAGGTAAGTCACTCTTTAGGTTTAGGTTCACAATCTTCATAGTTTAAATATTGTAGGTTAGTAGTATTATTTATCTAATCTATCTACTGTCTTAAACAAGCATAATATATTTACAATCTAATAGTACTCATTTGTCTAGAACAAAATGAAGCCCGGATAACGCAAAAGGTCGGATAACCAAGTCTCTACCGTACTTTAGTTGAATGCATATTAATGTTTAGCACAAACTCCACTTAATTTATGATACAAAACTAAACAAAAAGTACAAAATAAATTATTTAAAAATTAATGTTTTAAGATTATTGACGTTTAATAGTTTAATGTAGAATAGATAATGAATGCCTTTTATGTTTTAAAAGCCCAAAATTATTCTTTAGCTGTAAATCTATTGTCAGGAATAAGTACAGTTAGGTTTTTGTCGTATTTTGGGATAAATTAATAATAACACACACAAAAATAGTAGGCCTAGATATTAAAAAGTCATGTAACATTATTGTGCTACGCACAAATATATTCCTGTTGGGTGTTTTCTGATGTATTTTAATAAATATTTATGACTCAGACTGAAATTTTAAATTAAGCTTATTCATAAAAAGTTTTGTTGAACAAATTTACCTATACACATAGTAGTAGCCTATTACTATATTTACTACTGTAAACCCTCATTTATCTGTAGAGTCATTTAATAGCAGTTAGTAGAAATGTTATTGCTAAGTTTACACTTTACAATGTTAGAATACTACTTGTGCTTCAGTAGTTAATTATTATCAAAATTCACAGTACAGTATCCAAATTTTTTCTGTAAAATATGTTTTGATTATAGACAAAGGGTACCCAAACAACCCCAGAAAACCACTGTCATTCTTCAATTTAAGTTTATCTTATTTTTTTTGTATTTTTATTAGTTTCTAGCTCCAATTAACCTGGATCAATGAAGGTTTCCTGTAGTATATTATATTTCAATAATTTTGTATCAATGATCAAGCTTATCCAACACCCTACTTCAGTAAAGTACAAAGCATTAGGCAAATAAACTTAAATGTGAACACAAGTTAAAAATATTTTAAACAGTATGAAATTAAATCTAATTGTACTTAATAATAGGGTAAGCAAGTATTTATCCATACAATTGAGTATTTAGTGAAACATTAATTTTAAACAAGTATTTTCTACAATGTTACTTTTTGTATTATATGCTTGATTTTCAAATCAAACTGATATAACATTTTTGAATACTCAGGGTTCTAACCGACAAAAATGTTGATACAAGTCATTAAAATATAATTTACAATCATATATGTAACTTGTTAAATATTTGAATATCAATGCTGATTTATATACCATAAACATTTTAAGGATGTAGACTTCTACTTAAAATTAAAATGTTCATACAACAATAACGTTTTATCACAGGACATGCTTTTTAATCAAGTCACTTCATTTGATGTGAGAGTGTAATTTTTATATAAGAAATGAAACAAAACCATTATCGTTTGAAAAAGTTTTGATATATTGTCTTTTTCAGAGTTAACTCAACAGCTTTGAAATATTATTAAATAGTAAATTAGTAAAATAAAATCCCAAAAGCAATCATGGACAAACAACTTGAAGCAAACTTAAAAATACATCACAGTTAGTTTTGAAAAAAAAAATTACAATCAGTGTTAAAGCAAGTAAATTATATTTATAAGTAAAATTGAGGCCTCAGACACATTTTTGTTTTTTTACATCAACATTCATTTTTTTATCCAACACACGATATAGTTACAAAATATAGTAAAAAACCCCGTCAAAACACTGTAACTTTATCTTATGAAGAGTTGCATCTTGGAAATAACAATGCATTTTTTAATTTTTAAAAGATGTTCAGTTCTTTTGGGATACAGTATCCTCTAAATCAACTTTTATTTGGTATAAAATGATGTGGATCTTAAAATATTCTCATTTTATATTCAAAATATAGATTGGGTTTGAAATGAGCAAAGATCATTAATTAATTTGTCAATGTTTGTTTTTTGTATATTTTAAATGTGAGATATTACTGATTTAGGTTTTAAGGTTTTTATCTAATACAATTATCTGGTGCCTTAAGAGTGATGTTTGCACTTTAGCCCATTAAGAGGCTCGGCTTTCTAATCATTTACTTAAAGAGCTGTGCCTGAAGGTATCTTTTGTAAATAAAGATTTATTAGCTTTGATTGTTAATTTGTTAATAAGTCTCATTAAAATAGGTTGTTATAATGTATTTGTAGTGCTTAACTCCTTAACTTATACCTAGTTGCTAGTTGCTCAACGGTAGCATTGTTTTCAGTTCTAATTGAATCTGTATATTATTAATTTTTTAGTCTGTGCAGCGTTTGGAAAATAAGCGCAGATTTTTAGACAAACTCTTATAAAACATCACTTGTTGCTCGAGTTTAAAAGAGAAAAAAATGTTTTAAACTTTACATAAAGCGAAAAAGAGAGATATGACAATAACTTTGTTTTTGCACAAACTGTTAACTAGTAATCTCTTTGTCTTAACAGTGAAATATATGTTGGTCTTATGTGTTGTTAATGTTGTTATTCACCAGTTGTTTGACTGAGCTCATGTATTTATATTTTAATTTTGCCTGTTAAAATAGCATTTCTCTTATGATAATTTTAGATATTGAATGAACAAGCTAATTGTTATTTTTTTAGACAGGATAAACATAGACAATTGAATGTTTTGCATGCTGATAGATATTAAACAAATCAAAATAGCAAAAGTCAAATGATTTTACAGAATTATTAAAAGAAATTATATTTATAATATATAAAATAAACTAGGTTGTAGAATATAATTAAATAAATTTTAACTTTTGTCTGTATTTATTTTTATATTTAATAAAATGTCACAAGTTTATAAACAAATTGTATTTAGTCATAAATTTTTGTGTTTGCAAAGAATTGTTTTTAATAACGTATTTTAGCTACAACAAACATTGTTGTTTAAGTATTACATCACTGATAAAATAATTTGATCAAAACTTGTTCCTATTACAAATGTATTTAACAATGAGAATGTTGCCAGCCACTATGGACAAAAGTTTTGAAAAGTTCACAAGTACCTTAATGGACACGTTAAATTTGTTAACTGTATTCTGAATATTTTTAATACAAATGTTTAATATGCAACTATGTTTTTGTTTATTTTTCCTGGAATCCTTATCCATCTCTCCGTAATTGGGTCCTTCTTCATTAAAGGTTTTTACTTTTTTATCATGAGTCATTCAAATTGGGAAAAATGTAGATTATAAGTTTCGTCCTCGGTTTTCAAAAATCTTGAAGGAATACTATGTTATTAAACCAATATTTTACACTGAGCCATCCAAAAGAAGCTGCCTTTTAAAACTGTATTGTGGTACTTAAGGTTTTTTAGCAAATTTCCCATATAGGGAATAAGCTATTACTGTAAAATACCATAAATACCATTACCGCTTTTACCTTAAAAAGGGGGGAGCGAGCTGCTCTAGTGGTTAGAGCTTGAAACTTCGACCCTTGAGGTCCCGGGTTCAAATCCCGCCAAATCATCAATGGATTTTATCTAAGTGATAATGCTGCAACCCCTAGGTCTAGCCTGAAGTAATGTGAAAAACAATCCCGGGCTCGTGCTTAGCGTCCTAGAAAAAAAAATGCCATGAAAAGATCTAGACACGCAACCGATTAAATTTTTTGTTTAGATAAGCCAGGTAAAAAATTTGAAATTTAATAGATCATATTTAACAGCACTTTTGGTATGACACAAAAATTGAAATGGATGAATAAATAGTTTCTACCGCATGACTAATGTATTCTTGTCACATTCATATCAATTAAGTTTGACAGACAAAATGAGTTTGAGCCTGGTCTAGCAAGTCAATTTGGTTGAATCTGCCACAGAGGCACTAGATGCGGTTGAGAGGTAGGTTACTTAGTTACTTAGTTACTTAGGTTACTTAGTTTAATTTTGTTGTTAGTTGGGAAATATTTTAGTTCAGTTAAATTAAACCAACCTTTTGTTTTTGTTGATACCAAATAGTGGTATCTTTATTCATACAGAAGTACAGTATACAACATTCGAACCGTGTCATTTATTTACTCAAACATAAATTGCAGCAACATCATTTAAATTAATACTAGAGGTTAAAATACCTTTCCGTCAGTGTGATCAACGTCACAGATGAGCGGCGACTGGTTTCAACCCGGCAATGGGGTCATCTTCAGGCTATAAAAGAACAAAAATTCACCCCGAAAAGGTCGTCAGAAAGTCTATATTTACATAATGAAGAACTAAACTTAAGTATATTTTAAGAAAAACACGTGTAGCCACAAATTGACTGCGCCGCGGACGGTATGCGTACATTGAGTTAGTCCAGCTGGAGAATTTATGTTATTATATAGCCTGAAGATGACCCCATTGCCGGGTTGAAATCAGTCGCCGCTCATCTGTGATGTTGATCACACTGACTGATTAAAGGTATTTTAACCTCTATTCTTAATTCAAATTAGTGATCAAGAGGCAAAAACAACAGAAATGAAAACATCATTTACCTACGACCGTTTTTTAAAGTAGCCATTTCAGTCCAGTTCTTAGAATTGAAAAGTTTCACTTTACAGCTGTTTATTTTCATATCCGCATAGTTTCATTTCATATCCGCATAGTTTTCTCATATCCACACAGGTAACGGACCAATGAGGTTCAAGTATTGAGAGAAAAGAATTAAAATTGTAATGCTTCGAACGTCAACTAATCAGCTGATCAGCTGATCAGTTGACCAATTTAATTGTTTATCCGACTTGTTCATGTTGATACTCGCGTATTCTTAATTAAGTTGGTGGAAGTCCAAAAATAAATGAAATATTTGCCGAATTGTACCTGATGCAATATTATTTATGGTAAGAATGCTGCTAGCAATGTAATATTTAACGAAGTTTAACAAACACGTAATTACAGGAAATCAGCTGATTATACAACAAGTCGTTGCATCACTTTCAGTGGCAATGACAATACACGAAAACATAACCTCTCTAAAAAGTTATCAGTAGTTATTGTTAGTAATTAAATCCAGATTGATAGTAATTAAAAAACGGTCGTAGGTAAAGTAGTGTACGCAACTCGCGTTAATAGTCTTTACGACACTTGTAGAAGTTTTTAAGGCACTCGCCAAGGCTCGTGCCTTAAATTTTCTACTCGTGTCGTAAAGACTCACTTAACGCAATCGTTGCGTAAACTACTATTTCATCACTCCTTACCTAGGAGGATTAAACATTAAGGAGAGGGCACGCGAATAGGAATACACATGTTGCGGTGAAGCCAGCTTTAGCAGAACACTAGAGGGGCACGCGGAGCCGTAGAGTGGCAAAAAGCCTCGGCTATAACATGGGAGAGATAGGGAAAAACGCGACGCGCGCTGTTTCGAATTAAAATTGCCTCTAAACTAAAACACCTGTGTTATTCACCGATGGCATTCTTAAAGTAAATTAAATTTCCTATCGAACGGTGTCAATAATTCCTATAAAAACTATTATTTATTATTTATTATTGAAGATCAAAGTTGAAAGAATTGGCCTGGGCTTTGAACATATGACAACTTTAATTACGTTTTTGAATAAAATATGATGTATCTACACAAACTAACAATTTATTCGTGTTCCTTAATAGTTTCTCGAAATAAAAAATATATATTGACCTATATTTAAAAGTGGTATTTAGAAAAATAATTACAATAAAGTTTTATTTTTATTTTTTCAGTTTATAAAACAATCTTACTAATTATAGGTTAAAATGAAAAATTTAATTCGGGTGGTGGAATACATTTTAAATTTGCATTTTTCATAGTTTTCTCGATTTGTTAATATCGTTTTTTACTAGTTTTAAGGCATTTATGTGCTAGGCAGGTGATTTTAAATAGCCAAAGTTAAGAAAAAATGCAAAGCCGCTCTAACTTTTTTTACACCAACAGCTGTTACAATTAAATTACAAACATAAAAAGTAAAACAATTTCTTGGCAATCAAGTTCTTGATTTTTTAATATCATATTGAACTATATTTGATCTATGGTTTGCCCAAAGAAATTTCAAGTAAAAAGTGTAAATGTTCAACAATCATCGCGTCTTCTGACCGCCAAAGTGCGTTTATCATTCTTTTAAGGGATTAAAACTTATTTTATTTCTCTTTAAGAAAATGTTCAAATACACATACAGAACTACTCATGATTTGAGTTTTAATTTATGAACAGTAAAAGCCATTGGTGGTGGTATGGCAGGATTTGAACCCGGGACCCCAGGAACCGGAGTCCCGCGCTCTGGTTAGAGTATTATAAATAATACAAAATTTAAGTATGAAAAAAATAAAAACAAGGACAACGATTTCTAAAAAACAAGTCATCCTTGCGTAAATTACTCACCTTTGAACGTACTATTGGTTTATAAATATGACTTTCCTCTTAATAGGTTCCTAATATTACGGTTAGAATTTAAATTTTTAATTTTCGTAGCATGATGAAGTCTAATTTTTAAATAGATAATTGATATTTCTGTTGCCAAATCTTCCAGTAACGCATACAACACAGTATGAGAGGGGGGCGGGAGAGTAGCGATGCCTCCCCCCACCCCACCAGTACGCTGGCTTCAACGAATCTACAGCGTGTCCTCTCCTTAATGTTTAATCCTCCTAGCTCCTTACCAAAAGTAACTATTTTCGATAAAGGCTGATATCAAAGAAAATAGTTGTATCCCAAGCTCTAATTTAGAGCAAGGGAAAAAGATTAGCTAAATTTCCCTTGCTCTCGATTATAGTTCTCCATTTATCCACTAGGCTTACACACGCTAGTGTTTGTCAGGTTTATTTTAATTATTTAAATCAGCTGTTTTCATTGTTGCACAATCTAAATGAATACAGAAACAGGCATTAGTTTGTTCTGCTGTTTTTTTAGCATTAGTGCATGTTTGATATTGCTTAGAGTATGTCTAACATTACTGATGATTTGATGAGAACAGCTTCAGAGGTAAAATCACATTCCACCAAAGAAATCACGGGAAAGATAAGAAGAGGAATACAGAAAGTTTAGAAACTGGTACAAATTACAAAATAATGTTAAGTCAATTAAAGTTAAGTGACAAAGTATTTATTTATGTAGTTATCAAAAAATTCTATAATCATGAAACCATATATGTTCGTTGTGAAGTGTATTTTCAATGATAATGCGTGGTCTAAAACTATTTTAATACAACTGAGGTAGGTATGTTATTCTGTATGTGTGTATTTTTGCGTTGTGATGAAAAGTATCGTTCATAACTCGTACCGAAAGCTATTTTCCGAAACTTTTATATTATTCCCGTCCTCGGCTTCGCCTTGTATGTGAACATAATATCGCCTTGTGAACATAAATTTGGCTTTCCTGGAACTAGAGCGCTCGTCGGAAAATGACACTTTCAGTCCTAGTAATGAAATATACTACAGTATTACATTCCCTATTATTTCCAGTTTTTCCTTAAACTTGATGGGGTTTTTTGATTTATAAATTTTTAAGGTGTATTTTAGAAAATGGTCACCAATAAAGAAACATTTTTTCATAAAATTTCCTGTTTTGCAAAAAAAGTATTCCTATTCCGTGTTGTGTATGGTGTAAAGGTTGGCTAGACAGTAGGCAAGGTTTTATTTTTGATAAATAAAATTGAGTCAAAAAATGTTGCTCATATGCAGTAGGTAATATTTATCTGTATAAAAATTATCTTTTCAGATTCATTCTTATTTGATCAAAGCATTAACCAAACTCCCCTTTTTTGGGTTTTCCAGTTTCATCTAAATTAATTTTAATTGTTGCTCAAAATAGACTAAAAGATATGTGCAAAATGCAAATGTATAGGAGCAAAATAAATGCTAAAAGAATATATCCTATGCATGAATCACATATGTTGCTATAGTTCTTAATTTATTAGTTAACATTTTGATGAACAGCTTGAACAATTGTAACTGCTATTTATAAAAATAATGTAACGCCACCGAGCTTTACTGAACTTTAATGATTTATGTTTTTAACTGTCAAATCAAATCAAATCAAATCAATTTATTGACACAAATAACGTTACATTGGGTGCTTATAGCAGTAACTGGTGTCTTGTCAATTACATAAATCTTAATAATAAAATACAATGGAAAAAACATTTTACATAAAACATAGAAGATTACAATAACAATAAAAATGTACAATGACTATCCCAAGGAGGTGTCTGCTAAAAAGTCTGAGATGGAATAATAAACCTTATCCAGTAGAATTTCTTTAATTTTAACTTTAAAAACATTTACTGTCAATTGTTTAAATTTATTCGGCAAATGGTTGTACAGCTTCAGGCCTGTATAAAAAGGACATTTTTCAAATTTTGTTGTCCGATGGATTGGGTAACTGTAAAGGTTCTTGTTCCTAGTGTTGTATTTATTTTTTATTAAGAACTTTTCAAAATCTTTTTTATTTTCATGGACATAATTAAGGCTTTCATAAATGAACAGGCTGGGGAAAGTTAATATGGACTGATTTTTGAAATGTTTTTTACAGGAAGCCCTAAATTTAGCGTTTGCCATATTTCTAATGAATCTTTTTTGCATTGAAAATATCTTTTTACTATTTTTTGAATTTCCCCATAAGGTAATGCCATACCTCAAAATCGATTCTACATGGGAAAAATAAACTATTCTGATAACATTTTTTGATGCACACTGAGAAAGAACTGAAAAAGCAAAAAAGAATGATCTTAATTTTTTTAACAAATAATCAATATGTTCCTTCCAATTTAGTTTTTGGTCAATGATCACTCCGAGAAATTTTTGTTGTGAAATATCTGTCATGTTTGACTTTTGAAAAAATAAGACGTTTGTTTTATCACTGTTTAGTGCCAGGCCATTAGCTGTAAACCATTCACGGA